TGGCGTCCTACTTCCTACTTTGGCTTTCGATATCTGCCAGGTTGCCTTGCTGAGACGGCTGTCTTCCAAAAGGATCCTTGCCAGATTTGGCAGCCCGTGCGCAGCAGCGACGTGCAGCGGTGTAATTCCCGGAGGATACTTGTAGTATCCGTGAAGATAACGCGCTTTGCGAACCCAAAATTTGAAGTAGTTCGAACTAGGCTCGAAGAATGGAAGGAAAACAGAAATCCAGATATCCTTAAGCTCGGTATCTGAGAGCCTTGAAGTATAAGCGGGCCAATTACTAACAGCGTGCTGAAGGAATGGCGTAGTTGCAAACACTTCGGGGCTGATGTACAGGTCGTCATCCTCTAGTGCAGCCTCTACCTCTTCGGCAATTCCACCAGCAGAAATGTTCTCGATGGTCAGATATCGAATACAAGCCGTTAGAAGCTCGATGTTGCTCAGCGACTTGTCAAGATAGAGTTCGTTTTCTCTGTTCCCCTCAATTTTGGGAGACTGGAGGAACTGATACACAGAGTAATGTGCCAGATCAATCTTAGATGTTGCCTGAGATTCTCGAACAAGGCTTCCACAGAGCTCGAAGACGTAGCTCTTCTCACGTAATGAGTTGGATTGCACATCGTCGAGTGTCTTTGTATCTGGTGTAATGGCAATGCCTTCAACCAATTCCGACAAATCGAGGGGTTTGTTAGCAAACATGACAAACTGTAAGATGCGCTTCGCAAGCTTCTTCTCTTCTTCGTCTTCGAGCATTTGAAACGCCTGCTCGAAGGTCTTCTCGAGGTTGCGGGGTAAAGCCTGCACAAGTTTTGGATTAAGAGCTGTTCGGACGCGGGAGAGATGATCGATTTGACATATAACCCAGATAAACCTGTAGGGACGGATCGTCAGCATTTGATTGTGAGAGTTGGCGGTTACTCACATTCCATCAGCGCGAACAATGAGCTCTTTGATGACAGCCTCAACTTCAGATCCGCGAAATCGGCGCTTATTGAGCTTCTTGCGGACTAAGCTCTCAATATCAGATGCAACATCTGTTGACGTGATTGTGATCTTGAAAGAAGATGAAAAAGCATTGTCAAGGCTCATTCCAGACCTGCTCGCTATGAGAACCTTAAACTCGGTATCGGCCTCGGGTAGATTCTCCAAGAAGTCCAGGATTTCCCAATTGCCACTCATCTCATCCAAGCCATCGATGACGAGGAGAATTCTCTCGAAGTAGTTAGAGAGATCAGTGAACAGAACTTGTAGATCTTGAAGACTTGGGTGAACCGATCGCTTGCGATGTTTTTCGTAGATCTTATTCACAACTTCTAAGAGGGCGCCTAGGTTATAAGATTGTTTGAGGAGCTGCCCTATGAGCGACCCGATCAGATTGGTAGGTGAGAGACTGGATGGGTTGGTGAAGCGGCAGTAGTGGTACACGACGGCGTTACGACCCGGCTCAAATGTAGACTCTTGAAGCGATTCGATAACCTTGGATCTACAAACCTGTTAGCCCCCATGGCTCCTGGATGATATTTTTTGGAGAAACCTACACGATGACTGACTTTCCAGAGCCCTCTGGGATAAAACTTAGCATTGGCGTCAGTAAGGTTAAGGCACTTACGCGTTCCGTTGAGGCATAACAATGCTGAGCCCGGGCAAGATAGCCAGCTGTTGAATTCCTGCCTCTTCAAAATCCACTCTGCTGACGATGCATCGCGTTGCTTGCATAAATCATCATGCTCATCCTCCGTTGGCGTTCCAAGCCACTTGATGATCTTTTCCTGTTGCTGAACTGCGCAGTATCATTTCAGCACGGGTTTTGCAAGGCCGAGAGAGGTACTTACTTTGACCAGCATCTACCAACTTACCAACTGCTTTCTCAACGCCCTTCTGAGTTTCGTCTAATGACTTCAACTGAGTTACGATCTCCTGCATCTGGATTTGGAGGCTCTCGGATTGAGAACTTGCGTTTTGTCAGTAATCTGACTCTCCATAATGAACCAATAGCTCAGCTTACCTCTGCCCGAGCTGAAAGCAAAGAACAAAGAACGTTTTGTACTGCTGAATGCGTCGAAGTAACTTAACGGCCTGCTCCTCCCGTCCACCAGCCTTGATCAACATCTCAATGCGGTTCGACTTTGACAGCTTGGCTAATAACTCATCGATAAGCTTTATCGTAAGTCTGCTGTCTTCAATAGTATTGTGAACAGCTTCCAGATCGACATCGAGAGACTTAAAGGACTCTAGGTGCGCCTTGACACCTAGTAGGATGCCCGAGAAGTTGGCTGTCTCAGTAACTAGCGTCTTGGTGTCGCTCGTATCCTCATTCAACTTGGAGTTCAATTGGTAACCAGCCGATATAACAGCACCCGCGAGGCTCACTAGGCCAGCGATACTGGCAGCTAGCGATAAAGGATCCATGATTGTCGCCGTAAAAGAAAGATTGCAGGATTATGTTGAAGCTTGTGCGGGGAATTCAGCCGCACGATAATTCAGTAAGCAGAGTGGTAGAAGCCCACTTCAGCTACGGAGTACAGGGCTTCTAACTGGATTAGAAAATGCAGCCCATCTTATCGCATGGACTAGCCTCTACAATAATTGGTCAAATAGCGATGGAGTTCCGTATAAAAACGGAAGGTGGCCAAGGTACCCACGCGACATTCTGGATTGTAAATTTAACAACTCAAAGCAGGACATGTTGAGCTCATTTAACATAGGGAAAAAATAGTAACAAATTACGTAGAAGCAACGCTCGTGACTATTAACGTTGTCAGAATATTCACCATTGACATATCATTCGAGTTTATTATCGATTACTTAATCATGATCTATCTCTATTCTTTTCCTGTCGGCCAGCTTAGGCAGTAAAGTTGCGATGGGCAAGCTCGTAAACAAAACCAGCAGTGACCTTGGCATGTTCAATAACGTGACCAAAGTCAATGTGCGCAATAGTATCGTTAGGAGTGTGGATGTAAGGGTTATGGTTTCCGAAAGACGTCTCGAACAGGAATGACGAGGGGAAGCCGTTGCGGTTAGCTGATGCGTGGTCAGAGCAAGCATAACCGCAAGTGGACTCCTCGTAGGGAATATCAGCGTATTCTTCGATGAGAAGCTTAAGGAACTCATTCTGTGTTGGGCTGGTGTTGTCGGTGATGAGGCCGAAGCGCTCAACTCCATCGCGGCCCTTGTAACCAACCATATCCTGGTTCAGCATAGCCTCGACTTGAATGCCGAGTCGGGCGTAGTTATTGAAGATATCCTGAGATCCGAGGAGGCCAGTCTCTTCAGCTGAGTACCAGTGGAACTCAACAGTGTTGAGATGATCGCCCTTGGCGATTCGGGGATCCTCCAGGAAGGCTGATAGGAGGTTCAAGAGCATGATGGATGCAGATCCGTTATCATCAGCACCAGGAGCACGACCAGCTCCACGATCATTAGAGATGACCGAGTCAAGATGAGAACCCGTGACAACAGTCTTGAGACGAACCTGTCCAGGAATCGAGACGATGATTGAAGGCTGCGACCAAGCCTGGTGCTGGACTAGTCGAACTGAGGCATAGGGATGCTTGCTCTTCTTGATAGCCTTCTGGACCTCTTTATGGAGCCACTCAGCAGCCTCAACGCCAAAAGCAGAGTTGAAGTAGCGGTTGTGGAATGAGGAGAACTTCTTGAGCTGCTTCTCGATATTTTTGACGTTGACCTTCTTGACGATATTCTTGACGTTGGTTTGGTGAGCGAGCGCCTCGGGGAATTTGCTGGTTGTACTGGCGAGGCGAGCACCTGAGGAAGCGGCGCTGTGGTCTTTCCACTCTGTGATGTCGAAGAAGTGAATGTGGTCCTGTAACCAGTCAGCAGTCAATTCTCTCTACCTGAGGTCATGTCACACAGGAACTTACGTCAATCATCTGAAACTTCTCATCCTCGGTAACCTCGACGGTCTCACCAGGGGCTGTCTCTAGAGTGTATAGCTTCTGCGCGCGTTTTCCGGTTCCAATTGGCGCAGTAGCTGTAGCCGAGGCAGCCAGTGCCGCCATGAGAGGGACCGTGTAACGCATGATGTGTAGTTGAGGAGAGTAAGGTCAGAAAGTCGTAGCGACAGGTGGTTATTAGCAGAAGAGGCCTTACAAGTGGGTTGAGAAATAATCGATGCGGATAAATCATCACCTTTATATACCTGCAGATCTAATGCAAACTCCGGTTGCCCCGAATCTCAATACCACCAAGCCTCGTCATATCTCCATCCCCTGCAAGATACAATTGGCAAAGAACGGCCAATACGACGTTTTGGTAAACGATTCGTCTGCCAAGTCATGCGGTAGCATTGCCTACTCCACGTCGGGAAGCTCATGAGGGGAACTGCAAAAGAGCCAAGCGGCCGGATCGAAGGGCATTGGTTAATTAGTGGAAAATCGTGACAAGGTCAGAGATAAACATGACGCGGGTCAGCATTTGTTCCTGGGTTGTATGCAAGGAACGCTGGGCACTTGGCGTTTCCTCGCATCTCGGATAGTGAATGATCATTGATACTGCTTCAATTAACGTGTCTATTGTCTCAAAACTTATGAGACTATCTACATAATACTCTGCTCAGAACTCGAATCAATCCTGGCTTTTGTTAGCTTGAAGGGTAAGATTTAAGCTTAATTGAACCATGTCTCCCTTGATTTTCACCGCTACGCCTCTTCTTAGCACGCGCTTCAAAAGTTCCTAGTGAGGGGTAACCAGGCTCGGCATTACAGGAACATGCCCTTATAGGCAGGTCGCTTGATGATCATCCCACCTCAACCCATAATTGGAAGGTGACGAGGATGCTTGGACGTGCAAGTAGAAACGAAAAAATGGCGAACATATGCAGTTCTATTTCCCTATATCTCAGATATATATCCAAAAGCTCCAGCAAGACCTTCCTTGAGTCCAAGTAACTTTAATATCACGTCGCTGGCCTTAGCCCAGCCCTGTTATCCACTCTGGTCTCAAGCTCACCCTCGTTAGTTTTAGAAGCGACTATACTACTCCAAGTTCTCATCGGTGGGCTTGAAGAAATGGACGACGAACTGACAACCCCATCTGTGATTGAAGATCCACTCCAGGGACCACTGCTGACTGTTGATGACGAAGACATTTCGTATCTGGGTCTTCTCGCTTTCCTATTCTCTGATGTTCTGTTGGATGAATCGATTGGGTTTGGAAGTACGTTAGGCCTTGGGGACGGCGTAGCTGTTATCGGGGCCGTCTCCCTTTCTGTACGGTACAAGGCCTGACGTTCTTGGCGCTGAGCTCGAGAAGGTTTCTTTTCCGGTTGCTGATTGTTGCCAAACATGTTGTGGAGAAGCCCCCCTCGAGCTTCGCCGATAATGATTGCACCGTGCTTCTCAAGAGGCAGTGGACAATGCCCTTTTGACTGCTTCACGATGCGAACCACATGATCGGAGCATATGCCCGCGCATGGCCTGAACACATCTTGCGATCCCTGTAGCGTAAAGCCCGAAGGCGAGAGTTTCTTTTGGTCTTGTGATGACCCCTGCCGATCAAAAAGCGATTGGAGTGCATCTACTCGAATACCCAAGTAGCACTCATCTCTGGGCAGGGACTTGTAATTCAAGCACAGCTTGGATGACCCCGGTGCGAGAATGTCTCCAAAATCACCTCCGAACAGCACAACGGCCTGGATATCTTCTGCGTAGTCGTTCCAGCGCCCGCATGACTTTTTCAAGTCGACTGACTTGGGCAGTATCACTTTGACATTGTTGACAACATCCATGTACTCCCATCCAGTGACATTCTGCCCGAACTTGACGCCGAGCTTTACTGATGTGCTGCCACTTGCATATGATTCGGCCCAGAGCCCATCGACTGTCGAGTAAAGCAGTTTTACTTCATGTTTAAACCGGCTTTCTTCCTTTTTAGTGTTTGACATGGACGTTCTGATAGAAAAGACCTTCTCAGCGTTGTCAAGCATAGCAGCACGAGTTGAGGTTTTCTGTTTGGTTATATCTGCACCATGAATTATATCTACTGCATTCTTCTCTCTTGGGTTTTGTGATTGTCCCGATAGCTGCAAATTCTGTCGATGGAGAAGAATGTTAAGAATCAGATCCTCCGCATTGGTTTGAAAAGCGCGTTTGTGAGTCGTGTCGTGCAAAATAACTTGAGTCTCCTTAGCGTCGTCAAGTAGCGTTTCGTAATCATCTGGTCGCAAGCTTCGAAAACCATCTTTCTTGCCAAAAGTTACTTCAGCAGTAGCTGTTCCCCACTGACTAAACCCAATGATGAACTTATCAATCTGGGCCCATCTTGGAGGTTTCACAGCCTTGGAGTACTGTACAGACGCATGATCAAAGCTTGATGTTGCCAGAAGCTCAAGGACTTGTGGGCACCACCCGAGAAATGAGCGGCGATTCCAGAAATCTTTGTTCATCGTGCCTCTAAGTCTCTTAGGACATGCTCTGTCTATATGAGTCCACTCAAGCCTCTCAGGATAGGTGTCTATCAAATGCCATTGTATGGACGATCCAAAGTCCTCGATGGGTACGAGAGCGTGGTGTCTGGCCTTGAAAACAAAACCGCCTCTGTAGCTGACGGCCTGAGGAGTGTCCGCAAGAGCCGCCATCACAGGAATCGACATCTCAAGCCCCTGTTCGTTGTGATGGCGCTCAGGAAGGGGAAATCCAGCAACTATAACCGCTGGTCCAACTATCGTGTTCCAGCAACTGTCAGTAGGCCGGATCGATGGAACTTCGAGTTTAACATCAATGTCGAAGGTGGCGATAGCAGTCGTTTCAGCACTATTCGCCTCAAAGAAGCCCACGTAGGCATGAGAAAGCTGGTCCTGCTTTTCTTGGCAAACTGCTATCAACCAAGAGAGCTGCTGCGCAATAGCAATGATGAAATCTTCGGCTCCATGGACTGTTACCATGCGAAGTGTCGAGTCTACAATCACGCGTCCCGCCGGAAGCCTCTTGTGTCGTCTATCTGCGATAGAAGATTAGCTAGAGTAGTGGTTACTCGTAAGCGCATACCGCTTACTTTTGCTTGTAGAGCCACGCAGTTTTGACTGTAGTTCCTCCAACAGCTGGAATTTGTAACTTGGCCAGGCCCACGCAAAGTATTGACCAACCGAGCATAGCTGCGCATTTCCCATTGTACCAGTGACAGCAAGTATCTTGTCAATGTTTTGATGGACGCCGTCATCATAATTGCCGATTAAGAAAGCATGGAGGTCCCAGTCGAGGTTGAAGATCGCGACACTGTTATTGCTTCCCTGTTTTCCCAATTGGCGACGAATTGAGAGGGACGTGCGTTGGCGTACCAAATCCATTTTTTGACTGTGAAATCGTTCAAAGAGCTTCCGCGTAGTTTGGAGGAGCTCCTTAAACGCTGGATGCGTTGAAAAGTGCTTCATGACTTCAACTGGATTGATAGATGTCCCGTATATCTGCGTGGTATCACGAGGCGACACTTCTACATCGCTCTGCCCGACGGAGCTCTCTGACCTTGTAGGGAGGCTCAAAGATGCCTCTGAATGGTACTGATGCCTGGACTGTATATCTGGTCCTGCTTGCCACCCGGTCTTGAGATACAGATCAGGCGTCGGTATATCCCAGCGGTTGATCTTCTCAGCAGCGCCCATTTCTTCCCTGTCAGACAAATTGATCGGCATGCGATTGCTTTCTTGAACTTGGTCGTCCCTCAAGATTTGGTCCTGCAGTTTGCGAGCAATTTCGGACCTCAGCCTTCGCACCATTTTTCTCGCCTTTGCTTGTGTTCTTTCTGGCGTATCCGCCTCAACAGCTTCAGCAAATGTCCTCAATGCTGAGCGGAGGTGAGTAAGGACATGTTGCCTTGACGACTTATTTGCTGCACCATAGTTGACATGAGAGTGGAGGCCTTTGAGCATGGCTTGCGAGAATCTCTCAACTACATCATCTCTCTGCTCTGGCGTGTAGGTCGTTGATGTTTGCGAGATGAGCGATTCGTCATCCTTGCCATAGGGCTCATCCTGTAAAAATTGTCTTGTCGGGTTCTGGCCTAGTACAGATGGTGCATCCTCTTCAACTTCTTGGATATCTCTGAGGATTCCCAAGGAAGCATTTGGATTCCGAACTTGGCTGGGACGAACAGTCTTAGACCGACTAGATACCGAAGTCACTTTTGTCGTTTGCGTTGCCTCACTGCTCCTCGTGAAGCCACTGAGGGATGAAGAAAAGATACTTGCTGACGGGTTATTGCTCCTGGGACTAGTAATGGGTGCAATAGGCTGGTCGACTTTCAAAGACGTGCCACGCACTACATCAGCCCATGATTTGGATTGTGGGAGCTCGTATACGACTTGGTTGTTTGTCTGAGACTGCGGGCTCTGCCTTTCGGCTTCCGCGGCTTCCTTAGTCTCAGCTGCTTCTGTTTTCTTATGCGCGAAAGACTTTGCGGCACGTATAGCCTCTGCGGCACGTATAGCCTTTTCCTTTATCTCCTGCTGCTTGGAAGGATCCTTGGAAAGAATATCGATCAAGTCCGATGGTACTGGAGTGGCCAGCTTGAAACTTTCGGCAAATTTCTTTAACTCTGCCAATTTCACTTCTTTGCTTAGTTTTTCCTGTAATCGCTCGTCACTTTCTCGCCGTTGCCTAGCCAAGTCTTTGACTTCTGCGAAAATGTCGTTCTCCTCTGGCCTTGGGATATCTAGCGGGTGTTCTCCTTGATCAAGCTTCGTGGACGACATGATCATATAGATTTAGGAGAAAGGTGTTGGCAGAAGATTAGAGACAGGAATTAGGTCTGCGTGGGGAGGGGTAACGCAGCCTGATATAAGATTACTAGTAATACGTTGTGGAGGCTGTGCAAGATGCATGCTGACTTTCAGTCATAACTATTGGTGTAAGCAACGGATTGAAAATGCAAAACAATAAGACCCAATCAGTCCACAGCCTGGTTGCTCAATGATAGTATGTGCTAGCTAGATCAACCCGGCTAAGCGTCGGGTAAGCCGGGTTATACAAGGTCCGTAGCTATAAAGTACCCTCTGTAGTTAAAACTTGGATCTTTTATTAATAAATTGAACTGCTTTTAATAATTGACTAAATCTTAGATATAATTTCTAAATATATACTTTCTATTTAACAAACTATATATAAGAGATAGATAAAAGAAAAGAAAATACTCTTAATATAACTACTCCTCTCTGAAGTTAGCAAAAGCATATATCGGTTATTTTATCCGATCTTGACTGGCTGATTCTCATTCTTAAATGGAATATGCTCATCAATGCAAACACCAATAACCTTATAGGGATCCAGGCGATGCTTTCGCGACAAGAGCAAATTTCCAGATCCACCTGTACGCACATACCCATAATCCTTCATTATGTCCATAGCCGCATGGGTAAAGTCCTCCCGGACGAGCACCCTGCCACTAGGAACAGGCACTTCGTGGACAATTTCCTCGGTCTCCTTGCGCTTCCTGCAACGCGCAGCATACAGCCTGTGGGCCTGCACATTACCCGAGAACGCTACCACGTCGAAGGCTTTGCCGACATCGCCAATCTGTACAAGTCCCAGTCCATCCTGCAAGATTATCCTGTCATCGTTGTCTCCTTTCGCTGCTTTTTGACCTAGGGAGGTTCCTTCGACCGCGGTCAAGGCTTCAAAGATGAGTGCGAATGGAGCGACGATGGTACAGCCGCAGTTGACACTGACATGACAAGTGATACTCGCTGTGCTCCCATTTGCAAGACGTGAGCCACACCTTTTCATCGAGATCATCCTGTAGTTCATGGACCAATTATGCACCCGGAAGCCAATGGCGTTGGGATGTTCCCAGGCCGTTCCGCTCACCGACCGGTCTTCCCAGCCCACGGGCTTTGCACTGGGATCTGTAGTCTCCCACATTGGCTGCAGCTTCTCGAGTAATTTCCTCCGATAATGTACAAGGTCATCACACCCCGGGTCCATGATGGCTCCTAAGATGGTGGCGCATTGTACCAGGGTCCTACCCGTCTCGTCCTTGACCACGTCTCTAGGCTGGTCATATGTGGGTATGAGCTCCCTGCTAATCCGCCCAGTCTTGATCTTCTTGCCACAGTTGCAGCCTTTGAAGATGAACTGAAAGTCTCCGTTTCCTTGGCTTAGCCGGATCTTCATGAACTTTCGTGGTGTTCCAATCAGGCCTGTCATGGCTGATGTTTTCGCTCGCCCTTCCTTCTTCAGCCTCCCAAGTTTGAGGACTCCGGCGAAACAATCGGTAGACGCGACTTGGTTGTCGCTTTCAACTAGCGGAATCCAGTTCCATCCGCTTTCCCTTGCCTTGCTGGCTACACCAAGCTTGGTCCATGCCAACCCGGTCTCAGAAGACAGTTTCTTGAAGAAATTGAATGAGATGGATGTGATGTCCTTTCCTGACAACTCCGTTTCCACCTCATCTTTGGTGAACAGTCCGCTAAAGATGCCCAAGAGGCCTCTGAAGATGTCGGCTGAGTCTCTGCACTTGCGTGGCCTGAGGGAGATGGCAGAGAATATGTTGCTTATCCCTTTGTAGTTCTCTCGCCACCAGTAGGAACCACCGTTAATGATGTCAGTTCTTGCACTGTTGATCCCCTTCACCTGAGTTCGCAGGCTGACGAGGGATAGTATATCCTCTCCAATGACCCTCAGTATGGCGTTTACTCCTGCAGTGTTGAAGAACCTGCCTTTCTCAATCCAGTCGTACAGTTTGGCCGCTTTGTCAGCGCACTCGATTGCCAAGTCCATCCAGGTATGGAGTTGGCCGATGTAGAAGATACTGTCAGGGTTCACCCCCCACATCGTGATATTCTTGCCCAGAATCATCTCTTGAAACGTCCAGACACGAGTGAAGTAGTCATTGTCGAAGAGTGATGTAACACGTTCAATGCAGGTTGAATAACAGTTGATAACGCCCATGTCGATGGCGGCAGACCTCACGCTTGACGCGCCTATGTCAAACTTCCAGTCTGTCTTGGCCCAGCGGTCAAGGAGGTTGATGACCCTCTCAGTCAGACCGACGGCCTCGGTGGCGAGAGCAGTACCCTGCATATGATACAGGACGTGGTCAAGGAACTTTAGATCATCGACAATCTCCTGCGGGATCCAGGCTTCTTTCATGTCCATGAGAAGGTGACATCGCTCAGCGTTTCTGTAGTACTCGAACATCTTGGGGATCTCAGCAGACTTCTCAGTCTCATCTGTCTGGTTTATGCACACGCAGTCTGCCCAAAGGTACTTGATGTTGGCTGCTACCATGAGCCGCTTGATGTCTTCCAGCTTGTCGTGATTGATCTTGATCTCCCAGGTGACGCCGCCAAGGCCGCAGTTGTACGCTGGCACTTCCTTACCCCAGGTATAGGAGAGGATGTCAAATCTTGTCACATGGTGAACGATAGGGTCAACAACCGAGAAGTTGCCGTTGTCGTTGTAAAGAAGCCTGATTGGGAGTCCAGTTGACATGGTCAAGATTCAATATTTGGCTTGGAAAATGAGGAGGCAAAGGAAGAAAACCTGAGGAACAAGGCTTCGCGCGCTTAATGGAGAACTTTGACTTCACTCTCCATGTTCACGATTTCCCGGCAGCGTCTTCTGGCTTTTAACTTCGTTATCTTCTGGCACTTGACCTCGGCCCCTGTCGCTTTCACTTCAGCCGTTCTAGGGTGAGCGCGAAGGTGATGCATCTGATTGGCCTATGTGTTGCTAATTTCCACTTTCTGGCTTGGCGTGCATATCATTTCTTTTTTTACTTGCCTACAGCCATTTACTATCATTTCAAGAGGCCAAAGACCAATCGTTATCAGAACAGAATCAGAGCTGAATGTTGTGAGTGTATTTATAGGGTTGGGATGGATAAAAGTGTTGGGGGTCAGGAGGATCATTTATCCGATTCCGTGATCAACTTCAATTGGAATGGCGAAGGTTGGGAGTTCTCCCAGAACAGCGAGATCTTAGGCTTCTGTACCAAGAACGATGATGAGGGGTGCACCAAGACGGGAGTCAACTACTCACTCGGATTCTTCTCACACATGCTATGGATGACGGCGGCCTATAAGGTTAAGCTTTAGGCTGCAAACACAGATATACACGATATTTTTTTTTTTTTTTTTGTACCGGCTTTATCAACTCTGGATTTTAGATTAGAACAGATGACCTCATCCCCGCATAGTGTAAACTTAGTTATAGAGAGACTTTGGGTTTGCGGAGAACTTAGTTGTGGAGAGACTTTGAGTTGCGGAGAAGTTTTGTAACTGCCGGCAACTGTATATCCGGACATCCGATGATGACGATCTTCATTTTTCATATATAATTGCGCTAAAGTTAAGACTGAGCTCACCCTAGTTCGAATACAAAGGCATCAGATTCTGAACGATTATTTACTCCCAAGATCTCAATATGACCTCCCCTACCAACAACCCGCCAAGTGCTGGCCCCAGGATCCAAGATCAGTTCCCTGAAGCCATCATTAAGCCTATCCCCGCTGCAACTGAACATCCTTTCTACAACTATGATGGATTCAACCCCAGCCTTCAAGTCCTGGATGTAGGTCATGTCAAGGCTCCTGGTCGCAGGCCATTTGGAGTCAGGACTATCTACAACCGAGATCAAGGCATTGTTGTCCGCGATGGCGCACGTCTCTACGCTGATATCTTTCGTCCAGCAGACTCTGAACCTGTCCCGTGTATCTTGCCTTGGAGTCCGTACGGAAAGACAGGCACTGGTCCACAGAATTACAAGACGATGGGCCCTTATAACTGCGGTATTAAACTTGACCGCACATCTGGCTACGAGAAATTTGAAGCGCCTGATCCAGCAGAGTGGACAGAGCGCGGTTATAGTGTCATTAATATCGATGCCCGTGGTGCCGGACATAGTGAGGGTATAGTTGCCTTTTGGGGTAACCAAGAGGCTGAGGATATTTTTGATGTTATTGATTGGCTTTCTCATCAGCCATGGTGTAACGGTTCAGTCGTTATGGCTGGAAACTCGTGGCTTGCTATTGCCCAGATTAATTTTGCTTCAAGGCTATCTCATCCAGCGCTAAAAGCTATTGCACCGTGGGAGAGTTTCACAGATCCTTATCGCCAGTTCATCGCGAGAGGCGGTCGTCAGCATATTCCTAGCTTCCAAAAGTTGATAATTGGCGGTTTTGCTGGACCAGAAGGTACAGAGGACATTGCTGGAATGTTGGAGCAGTATCCTCTTTATAATCATTACTGGGAAGCTAAGAGGATTCCCGTTGAGAAGATTGATATTCCTATGTATGTTGTAGCTTCTTACTCAAGCATGTTACATACATACGGATCCTTTCAGACATTTCGTCTAGCCAAGACGGAGAGAAAGTGGCTACGAGTTCACCCATACCAAGAGTGTAAGATTTCTCAACACTCTCCGCAAACTCCTTCGCTAACAATTTTGTTCTCAGGGTTCGACCTCTACCGCCCAGAAATTAATGATGAACTTCAGCGATATTTCGATGCTTATAGCAAGCCTGGGCCAGCTGTTACTCCTAAAGATTGGGAGCAGTCGACACCACGTGTTCGACTTTCACTCCTTGGCTTCGAGTCAGACGGAAGTCCCGCAAAGACTATCCTCGAGAGAGTTGAGGACAGTTATCCGCTCAAGAGGCAGAAACTCGTGACTCTTTACCTTGATTCTGAGACAGGAAAGCTCGGCAAAGTCAAAAAGGATCAGGAGACTATGAAGTCTTATAAGGGGAAGAGTATGACCGATCAGCTGGTACGTTAACTTGGCTTTTTAGTCATGGACTATGATTTTAACTGATGAGGCAGACTTTTACTACTAAATTCGATACTGCAACAGAACTCGCCGGGTATCCCAAAGCTGTCCTGTACATGTCGTGCCCAGACAACGATGACTTTGACGTCGCTGTGCAGATCCGTAAGATTGACTCAGAGGACAGACAACTTACCCACCTCAACTATCCATGCCCAGTCCCCATCGACCAGGTCCCCAATACCAATATTGTGAAGACGCTAGGTCCTCAAGGCTTCCTCCGTGCATCACATCACGTGTCACTGGAGGGAGGATCTGTTCCTTCGAATGATCTCTCTAGTGAGACCGATGTGCTATATAGCCATCGGGTTCGGGAGCCTGTTAAACCAGGCTCCGTCGTGCGGTTGGAGATTCCTATATGGCCTATCGGAATGGTTTTTGAAGCTGGGGAGGGTATTGCACTGAACATATCAGGTCATGATATGTGTCTACCTGAGACAGAGCTGTGTGCACTTACTGAGCCGGAAGATGAGAATGTTGGGCAGCATTGTTTGCATACCGGTGGGAAGTATAATAGCCACTTGATTATTCCTGTTATCAAGGGCTTTGTGGGAGAAACTGTAAAGCAGAACAACAAGGTTTAAGCAGCCAAGACATGAAATAAACACGATGTCTTGTGGCTTCCATAATAACGATTATTTTATTGAGTGTTGAAGGGCCTGTTGGCTTGTCTCTAATACTAATGACTTTCTTTAGATCGCATTATCACTCTTCAGATCATGGCTCATATTACATGTTGTGACTGCTAGGCGTTTGTCACAGTACCATGGTGCTAATAGCGACAAAACATGTACTTCGTGAACAACAAACCTTCACTCTGCTTATCAATTAGCTGATATTGAACCATCGCATCTTTCTTTTGAATTGATTTGAGAAGGATCTTGGCTCGTGCACCATTCAAATATTGAGCGGCCGCTCGAGATGGATCCTTCTTCAGCTGTTCCACCTGAGTTCATGTTCTAGAACAAATCTTTAGGTGAGAGTTAAAGCCTAGCTAAAGCTTGTTTATCCAGGAGCATTAGTGGTGTAATGACTTGTATCTCGTCTTGACAAGAAATGACATGCTATAGTACAGAGAAGAATCATAGGTCTGCAGGCTCTTAGGTATATGTTCATAATATCTAGGGCGGAACTTGATAGTCAAAAGGACTTGTTTATATGCCTGCCCAGAAGACGCCAAAACACAGCGAGATTTTGTTTACCATGTTGCAATACATCAGCGCCTGGCGCCTTACCCTAGCCTTTTTCGATAAATATACCTCACAAGCGCCACTCATAGCTATCTGCCTTTTCTTTCAATAGTATGAACAAGGTACTGTTTATTGATCAACCATGAATCGGTAGACCTTGCTTAACTTGGCATCGGTCCCAAGGTTTCTAACTGTGACAAAATTCTTACCATCTCAACAGCTACGCCCCATTGGCTAGCAAGCCCACGCATCAACGTCTGCATTTTCTTCATTTCGAATGGCAGATTTCGTGCTGGTCCTATACCGTAGTTTGTTGTTTTCATGTTTGAGGAGATAAAAGCCTGGGTCTTTTTCCAAGAAATATCCTGCTGCATTGCTTCCCCAACGTTTGACTGATCAACCAGTGTAGACTCCCAGTGAATCGATGCAGGTACAGAAACGGATGCCATTCCGCTGAGGCGGGAGAATGAATACATGCCGGAGGCGGCGAATATAGACATTGGCATCCAGAAGGTGTTGGTGCGGTTGAAGGGGAGTTGATTGACGCTGTCTTGAATAGCAGCGGCATGTAAAAAGGCGCATCTGGCGTCTGTAGATCCTCTAAACCACTGGATGGAATCTTTAAGCTCTTTGCCGCTTTCTCTTGACTTGAAAATGTGCTGGTCTATCTGGAGATGTCGACAGATTTGGTCAAAAAGCTCCATTGAGTTGCAAACCATATCTAGACAGATAAAATGCCACCTGATCATTAACTCTAGCCGCTCGTTCTCATCGAAGGACCAGGTGTCGTTTAAAAGATGGAATACCCGCACCAGAGCATGTTTCACATCGAGCAGCGCCGGAATTTTGACGATGGATTTTGGAGATTGTGCCTCGCGGTTCTCTAGGACCAAGGCATGTAGGCATTCCAGCACGACACGCACATCGAGTGATGCTTTTACACTGCGTAAGCATGGACTAATCTCATCGTCGGGATTGGTCGTGGCGAAGAGCTCGTGGTAGATATCACTGAAGGAGAACGTGGGGTCTTCGGATTGTTCATCGTCCATGATTCGGCGCCACTCTTGAGGATCTCGGGCCTCAAATGCCTTTGAAGAAGCTGAAAGCCTGAGAGTGTTTGCTGCATGCAGCGTAGCAGCATCTGGTTTACCTGACAGATAGCTTAGCTGACCGTCGAGTATGTAATGGCCAACAAGAGCTCTGTGATAGACTTCCTCTGCGGCCCATTGCTTCCAGGCATATTCATCGCTGATTTCTCCGGGTTGTTGTTCAGATGATCGAGGTCTGCAAGTCTTGTTCTGGTGTGCCCAGCTAAATCCCAGACTATGGAAGACTTGGCTGGTCAATTTAAGGTCTGTTTTCTATAAGAATCAATCAGTTACCATTTCTTAAGCGAGTCTAATAAGTTACCTCGGACATCACAGCATAACATTGGCCAAGAAGAGCTGTTAGCACGAGCTGGACGCCCCTATGCGAATCGTAGGGACCTCGATGGCGTAATAGCGCCGTCCACTGCATCACCATATTAGCAAACGACCTTAACGCCGCTGAATCACCTAGTGCATACAGCAGTTGCCACGGCGGTGTGAGCTAGTCTCCATAATACCTCACCCTTGTCTAGTCAGCTGTCAAATCTCTCACCCCAACAAAACCCTGGGTAGTGAACCAACCCCTTTAGCGGCGTCTTCTGTGCCGATGAACAATGATCCAAGTGCCATAGCATTAAGGATTAAACTAGGTGAGCAATCGCGATATACGAACGTTGGTCGATGAAGAATAGGGAAGTAGATGTTGAAGTGGGAAAAGTATGCTTGAAGACAGCTGTCAAGAAAAGCAGGGTTTAGTTCTGGTAAAGATTTTGCCGCTGAGGTGACATTCTGTGACTGTTTCACTGTCAGCACAGGAAGCTTTATGGCAGCAGAGGGCATACAAGGCATGTAACCATGTCACTGAGGCTTTGGATGGCATCCCGGGAGCCATTGACGGGTGATAACTGATTGGGATCCTGGTTCTCCTTGCCACCAACGGGCTGTGCAACGGAGATAATATTTGGCTGGGGTCCTGCTGCCTCTTGGTATGCTTGAGGTTTGAGTATGTTTCCTGGTGGTAAGGTCAAAGAACCCCAGTCGAATGTGACTATGCTTTGCAACAGGGCTTCTGAATCAGGCCATTCCAGGTGTATATCGAGCTCTGAATTAGACAAAGCTGGATCGGTGAACATGTGCTCGTTCATATCTGATACTGGGTTATAGGTAATGCTCTGATTCTGCTCCATAACACTTTGAATGCTTGTATAGTCCGACATGCTAGGAGACAAGGGCCAGCCATCTTGGGGTTGATGTTGCTGCTGACCTTGAGCTTGCTGTGTACGTTGCTGTTGCTCGGTTTGACTATGAGTTTTTTGGTGCCTCGTGACAGAGTCAGGCCTGCTGAACTGTCGTCCACAGATGCGGCATGCAAATGGCTTGGAGCCAGTGTCTAGAGCGGAGCCAGGGTCAGCCATTTATGCCGGGTTGAACAATGGCGGAGAGGAAACTCACGCGTTCTTTCATGCCTCTGCTCATGTTAGTAACCTGGTAAGCTTTACCTACGATAACTCAAGGGAGGTAAGCAACACTGACCTGCAAATGTTCTGCTTTGGAATACGTCTTGTGACATGTGGGGCATGTAAGAGCTGATCGCTGATGGCGGGGTCGTGCGTTATGTCTTGCCATACTAGATGATGGACTCGTGCATCACGGTGGCAGACAGTCAAGGTAGCTTTGGTGATGGGGAGAGGAGAAGCGAGAAGGCCTGGAGGAGAAGTTGGATGCGGAGGCGTGGGGAAGGCAGTAGATTGCGGGGATTCGAGATTTAGTGGATTAGTCAGGCCTTAGCGTGTGACCCACATTCTGAGGTCTGAGTCCCTAGGGTAAGGTACGTGGAGTGCTATTTACGCTTAGAACACATCATTATTGAGTCTGAGAAGAGGATCATACAAATATTCCCTTATACTGGTTATCGCGCCTTAGATTCATAATAATATACGTTTTAGATCAAGGCGGCTCTTTCGCAGATTGTCGTTGGTAAGCCCTAAGCGCAACTCAATAGCCTCGCTGTATCGGTTCCTAGTTACCCATCGACAGCTTCTAATTTCCTTCAATGACCTTTGGAACATTCTCTATCAGATGCTCCACTATAGCGTCCGGCCCATACTTAACTTGCAAGCCTTCAGGAATTGCATACAACTTGATATCAGGCACTACAGATTGTGCAATTGAGTGTATCTTTGCGCTCTCATCTGGAGTCCACATGGAAGCAGAAAACTGTCCCAGATCAGCCAGCCAACCTCTCACCAGATAAGCATTGCAAGCTACGTACCAAGATATTGGGCTGGTATTGCTCGACGGTGCTTTCTACCTCATCAATTGCTGCAGTTGTCAGTTGAGAAGCTTGAGGGATTTATGAGGAGGCTTGCAGGAGCAATTTGCAACATGTTGAATATCATATTGAGATTTCAATGCCTCGGCGACACGGGGTATGAGCACTTTTGCTCTCTCGGGAGCTGTGTTGACCGTGACCAACCGCCAGGGACCTCGTGATGACATTCTTGAGCGCGATTGGGAGAAGAAAGAACTGGGTAGATAGAGATGACTACCTGTTGTGTAGTGCCTTAATCAGGGATTGTTTTTTTTTTATTTTTTTTATTATCAAGAGGGAAGAAAAAAAACCTATACATTTATTTATTCTTATTCGAAAGGCTTTTTTCCTAGGTGCAACTAGATTCATTCCACGGCTATTGAGGCGGGTGTCTTTTCTGTACATACCTGTACACCGAGCTCTCCGCAATTGTGGACAAGCGTGGTCTAGAGGGCGGGGAATTTCTCCACCAGGCACGGTCGTGAATGTGGCGGGGACAATGTGGTGACGCCTTGACTTTTTGCCTGCATATGTATCTGCCACAGCCAGCCTACGCAGTGACGAGACCTGGCGGTGGGCAACTAGGTAAGCAAGAAGGGTGATACAATGACAAAAGGCTGGCACAATCTTCAATGTTAGCAGATTTAGTTACTAAATGCCAAGATTTATGTATCTATGTAATTCCCTAATATTTCCGGACTTTTCCTTGCAGAATCATGGGATAATGTCATACAGGCAGGACAACTGACACAAATAAAGATGCATCCTGGCCTTTCGTGACTGCATCAACCTTTTGTGCCCAACTACCTGAGCAAGCTTAGTTGCCCACCGTCAGGTATCGCTAACAGGTGTTACTTATCACATCTCTTCATGGATCATCAGTCTAAGTGCAGTTTAGAACAAAGCAATACAATATCTATTTCTCCTGGAATCCGTTCTGCTTGGCTACGGCGTTACTCCCGTGATCCTCCCAGACAAACCGTTGTTCCTCACCCGGAATCAACGGAATCAATGCCTTTCCGTAATCGCCCCCATTTGGCGTTCGAAGAAGCGTGTGAATGTGAAACCTCGCTGGCTCGCTATTGTTGAGAAAGACGCCAGAATGATGGTCAAACTCGATAATGATAACAGGACTTTGAATCCTGTAATAGAAGGCATCGGATTCTGTGAACCCCCCGATCCAGCAGAAATACGTCTCGTCGTAGTAGGTACGTATGTCATTCATCTTGGCCTTTCTGGACTGGGAGGGGAGATAGAGCAGAAATTCTTCAAGAATAGCTTCTACCAAGCCGACTTGTTCGCCACTCATACAAGATACTGTGATGCCTTCGTATGGAACTACGCGATTATCCCTGTATGCTCCGCAAAGGTGTCGTTGGTCATCTCGGTTCCAAAGCCCTACCGGCATACAAGGGTCCCGTAGGAGCTTGTAAATCTGAGCCTTGCTCTGCTGTGCCGCTGGCAGTGACTGCATAAGCTCAAGCCCAAGCCTGTCCTCTCGCTGTAGAATAGTGGTGCCAGCAAAAGGACCAGCGTCGATCTCATTGGGCTCCGCACCCGTGAACCAAGGGGAGATAATGAGTTGCGATTGGTACAAGAAAATGTTGAGACAAAGATGGTGACCGTAGAAGCTAAAGCCCCAAGGCTTATTCTCAGAGGGATACCCGAAGATGGCAAAGTTGTATGAGAATTCATTGCACACTCGCTTTGCGTTGACCAAGTCTCCGAGAAATCCATTGAGTCGCATTGCTGATCTTGCTTTGGCAAATCCATCTGGTGAAAAGGTGAGACGGAGAACCTCAAGGATCTTGTCCCTCAGGTCAGCGTCGATTTCGTCTAACCTCAATCCCTTGTCACTTAAAAGAAACTCGGGATTCGACCAAGTACGCCATTGCGGGTCATCCAGATGATGAAGTGTCTTTTTCGTCTCCGTCTCGTCCAAGGCGTCAAGAACTTGTCTTGCAGCCGTGCTGATATCACAAACAGGGACTTGGTTGTCTTCCAAGCTAAACAAGTCTTGTTTTACAACCCCATCACTTGTTACACCCCTGAAAGGCTCCTTATAGAGATCTTTCCAGTGCTCCCATAATGCGTGCAGCCATGGCGGGTTTTTGTTATTCTTGAAATCGGCTGCATATGAGCGCGCATCTTGTTTCTGCATCGCGACAAATCGAGGTGTTGACAAGTCGGGCAAGTATTTGCGGAACTCTCCTCGGCTGGCTACATTCTTGGTCTCCATGATAGCGACGCAGATATAGAATTTGGTGTTGAAAGCTCTGTATAGGCCAGGTAGGTTGAAGTGACTGTCAAGTCTCTCGGCACGGTGCAAGTAGTGATGATCTCGTCTGGTCATACGCAGAACACTTGCACTTTACATATACACTGTCTCCATAATCGCCACAACAAGCTTGAGGATTAGTGGAACCTGTTTTGTTCGTCATAACTTTGCGGCGGCGCGAGGATCGCTTCTCCGCCGCGTGCTACTTCTTGCGGCCGAGGAAAAAATGCTCATACTGTGGGGAATGGTACTGAGAGGGGCACACCAGGCCTGGTCTCGACTCTGGACCTGGACACGCGTCGTACGATCGGCAATGGCACCCCACGTCAAGACGCACATGGTTCGACAAACAATGAGCAACTTGATGCCCAGGAAATTAGAATCCACTTCTTATTCACAGACTGACAAAGAAGACTGTTAAAGGCATTACTACGTCAGCTGATGTTAATGGATATAAGAAATGAACTAGAATAGCATCTCGACCGTTTTAAGATGTATTGGCTACGATACTGACACTTGACACGCAGGTAGAAAGTAGATACATGACCTCTCGAAAGCATTGTATATCATACGGTACTGTAGGTACTGCATCAAGCCCCTAAGAAATTGCTCAGCTTCTGACCCACCGCCTTCACCTCACCCTCCGTCCTGAAAGACCCAAATATATGTTGATCGGGTCGAACCAACAAAGCACGTCCTAGAGTTAAACCAGACTCGCTCAACCAATCCCATTTCGCAGCTCCTGTCACTACATCAAAGTCTTTGCGCAGCCTAAGACTATTGAACTTGGTATTCTTGTGACTCTCAGTAATGATGCAAGAAGCTGCATGTACCTTATCGTCGTTCGCAGGCAGCAAAAGCGTCCACGCATCAGGTGCGCAGAGATCTAGAGTGCTGTACCGTCGTTCTTCGACATCCTTGACACCCAACTCTTTGACATATCTGAGATTGACGGGCTTCAACTGCGGCAATGAGGATGGCAGTGAGCCTCGTAACCATGCATGCGGTATTCTTGCTCCTGGTCGAAAGGCTGGCTTGAAGTGTGATGCATGAGCAGGAAACTCTGTATCACCATAGACATAACCGATATGTAAGTTGAGGTTATCGAAATGCTCTCTCTGGTCTTCGACTCCAGCATCGACCTCTTTCATTTTTTCCGGATCATTGATAGCTTTCAGTAGATTCTTTCGACCTTCGTTGATATCAGATATGCCCGCTGTTCCGAGAGCTTTCAAGAGGCCAAAGATCTTTTGCCCGTTCTTGACACTCTGTCGTGAGTTTACCTCGGCAATCTGCCTGCGCTCTTCGGTGTATGATTCCAGCATGACATTACTGGTAGGATTGTTTAGGGCATGGGCAATTTTGAAAGCAAGGTTATGAACATCTGCGAGACCCGAGTTGAGACCCAGGCCGCCTGTTGGTGGAAACGAGTGAGCTGCATCCCCCGCGAGAAACACATTCCCTTGAATGTATGTGTTTGCTACCTTTCGACTAAGGATCCAAGGGCGATAGCTCAGTACCTTGGAATCTGTGTCCTTGCCGATAGCTCCTTTGAGTACCTCGTGGCAAAGTTGTTCATTCCACTCTTCAACAGGGTACTTGTCAGAGTCAAAATTGGTGATGAGAACGGCGTTTCCTTCAAGATTGTAGGCTATGATGAAGCCAGATGCAAGCGGATCGAATAGCCAGTGAAGCATACCCACACGATCACCGACAACTTCACGCAGGTTAGCACTGAAATGAATCGTCATCATGGTCTCGTCTGAATGGAAGTTAGTGATGTCTATGCTGACACAATATAGGGGCACGAAACTCACATGAGTCCTCGCCGTCGCTCTCGATGCCCACATACTGACGAACTTTACTCTTGGCTCCATCGCACGCAATCACGTACTTTGAGCTGACCCTATATAGTTGACCAGTGGCACGTTCCTCAACGATAGTCGTGACTGAGTCTTGAGTCTGGGACAAGGAAACAAACGAAACTCCCTTCCGGATGTCAACAAGGTCTTCAGACGACAACTTGTCAGCGAGATATTGCTCAAAATCAGGCTGAGGAATATTGTGGATCATCTCAGGTGTAAAGTCAAGAACCTCTTTATCCATGCGCTCGTACGGAAGCCGTCCCAGGACTTGACCGGATAGCGTTGTGAGAAAGTTGACCCAGTATGCATCGTCCCTTGGTGTGCCCAGGCTTCTGATGTGATCTGTGTCCAGACCAAACTGTCGACATATCTCGAGTGATCTGGGACTCAGAGCATGAGCTTTCGGAGCCCCGAGTCTCTCTGGGTAGCGCTCGACGATAAGAGACTTTACGCCTAGTTGGGATAAGAGGTAGGCTTGTAAGAGGCCGCTTGGACCGCCTCCGATGATGAGAACGGGGACTTGGACTGCTTCACCATGGCCCTTGCTATGATCACCATTGGTATAGTGGCAGTTGGCTTTGCTGGATACTGGGATAAAGACCTTATCATCGGCATTGGAGTTGAAAAGTGAGATGCCCATTGTAGTAGATATTGATTGCCGATATTAGATTTGATGTAGGTTGAGATTGATTGACCGGGTTGAGATAGTAAGGGGATATAAATTCGGTGGCCAGAGATTGGGCTAGAATGTGCTCGGTCAAGTAGTAGGGGAAAAGTGCAACGCCAGTCACTTTGCAAGACTTTGCTAATTAATTCCAAATGCTCGATCTACACTCGAAAGCCACACGGCGGGGACTGTTTAGAGGCAAAGTAGCTCCGTCCGTGGAGAAGTTGGTGGGGAGGTAACAGGTTGTGGAGAAACAGTCTCTCCACAAACACCTCGGCCACCGTTGCGGCTCTAACGGAGCATGGCTGATATAGGAAGCATGGTGGCCTTATTATGGAATGCCGTGCTTTGTTACGAGGAGCTTATTGTCGGCTTTTCCGTTAACTCTTTTGGTAACCATGTCGCTACCCTCCTTCACCCGTAAGCACGAGCCCAGCAGAACACTGCTATCCAACCAAGAAGCCTAACGAACAAATAGGACTAATTCGTTTCATCGCCAAGAATGATGCGTCCAAGATTCTAATTGGTGAGCCTACCTCAGCCAGTGAGGACGTAGGCTTAGCGCTGAGAAAAGGCCTGGATGTCTGGGCCTACCTCTTCACTGGGTCCTCCATGCTAGCACCAGGAAACAAGACACAGCAAATCGTGCAAATTGATCGGTTGCTTTCTCCTCTTGCGCAGCAAGAGGTAGGCACTATTAGGTGCATTGGGCTGAATGTAAGATTACTAATTATCAGCATGATTCAATGGTCGTTTACTCACTTCATACTTCTTAGTACAGACAGCATGCTCGAGAAGTCAACCTCGCCATACCGACCGTCCCGACCGTCTTCTTGTTTGTTACTGTCACTTTATCACTGCTATACTAGCTAAATGTTTATAGGAAGCCAGCCACCAGCCTCAACGATCCTTTCCCGTCGCCAATTCCGTTACCCAAGATATCACAGTCGTCCGATTCTGCTGATTACGAGGCAGAACTAGCAGTAGTCATTGGGAAGACGTGCCGCAATGTGAAAGAGGACGAGGCTTATGATTATGTCCTTGGATATACGGCCTGCAACGATGTGTCATCCAGAGCACCGCAGTTTCGAGATAGTCAGTGGTGCTTTTCCAAGGGATTTGATGGAGCTTGTCCTCTAGGTAAGCTAGCATATAAACTCTCGATTTATGCAGTGGTACTAAACATGATAGGCCCGACATTGGTGTCTAGCCAAATCATCCCCGACCCAAGCACGCTCAATCTGAGAGGTCTCCGGAACAACCAAGTTGTTCAAGACAGTGGCATAGAGTGAGAAAAGCCTCATACCTCGAGCGATTGACCTCTAACGTTGACTAGTGACCTGATTTTCAACGTGCCTCGCATCATAAGCTATCTATCTGAAGACACTACCTTGCCAGCGGGTACGGTTATTTTAACGGGAACGCCCGCGGGGGTAGGATATGGACGGTCTCCACGACAGACCTTGAAAGACGGAGATGAGTTTGCAGTGGAGATTCTACCTTTCATTGGCACTCTTACAAACATGGTCAAAAACTCGTAATAGGTCAAGATCTGTTACCAGCAAAGCAAAGATAGCAACATAGATGAATAGCAATTTCTAAGATGTTGGAGAAATTATCATGGTATTTTTTAGAGCTGCAATGTCCAGTGGCAAGAACTGCTCGAGGCATTTGTCGACTGAATCAACTCGTACGAATTTCACCGCTGCGATTAGCGCTAAAGTGTCGCAGAGATACCTACAATGCTCTGCTTTGAGACTTGACAGCTTTAAGCGGCGGGAACAGGCAGGCGGGGAAGGGCTTGTAACTTAGGATCCATGGGGGTGATTATTAGGCCAGCATTGGATGGACTTGGTGCACGGTCAACCCAAGACGACCCCCTCTGTTGGTGAGCAGTCCCCGATCTCCTCGCTTCCAAGTTTATGGTTCGAACTCCCCACAAACGTAACCTCATTCAGCCTGGTTTCCAGACCCAAGTCTTGTTCCCCACGAACCCCGCGACTTCTCCACATCTTGTCTAGACCGTATAGGCGCTTTAGTCGGCATCATCTGTCTACCTAGTAGCAAATCGGTCTGTTTCCACAAGGAAAGGGCGTCCAGCTCCTGGGGTCGCCTAACAACCAGAATTGGGCCAGATTGATCTTAGTACCTAGTCCTCTTCCCCAGATTCCGGGGGCGGGGTCTGACTTTGATCTGGGCTATAAGAGTACAGAAGCCAAAGCCATCCCTGCCCACCATTTGTATCATCATCTGTGCTGCCTCGTCTCTACCACCTGCAACATGGCAAACCACCAAGATCCAGATGCTATGACGCATGTCGATACAACTGCCAGCACCCGCCCACCTGGCACAGAACTCCTCTACGACAACACAAGTCATCTGCAATATGTCAAAGACAAACAAGGAAACCACATCATCCTTGTGCCCCAGCCTTCTACAACTGACCCAAATGACCCGCTCAGATGGTCCAGGGCCAAGAAGTGGATTGTCTTCCTCAACGGCGTTTTTTACGCCTTTATGGGAAGTGTCACAGGTCCAATCATGGCTGCTGGCATGATTCCCTTAACAGAAAGATTCGGTGTTTCGCTGCAGAAGCTGACGTATGCGAATGGTGCTACGTTGATCTGTCAAGGTGTTGGGAATATATTTTGGATGTAAGCTCGACAATTTACGTGTCTAGTTTGTGACTAATTGGTTAGGCCTTTTGCTATCAAGTTCGGCAGACGCCCGGTATATCTGCTCTCCAATCTTCTGATGGGCGTAGCTTGCATTTGGCTCGGTCTTGCATCCAACGCCTCATACACACCTTTCGTTATCGGTCGAGCGTTTCTGGGCTTATTCGAAGCACCCATTGAGTCGATTGTTCCTACAACTATAACGGATACTTTCTTCCTTCATGAGCGTGGTGCCATGGTTTCGGCGTATGGTCTTTCCGTCCTCAGCGGCAATGAGCTTGGACCTTTGGTAAGGGAAACCATGACTTTCTTGTGCCCGAGCTAATGTGGTTTTTAGTTCTCAGCTCTAATTATCCAGTACCTTGACATGGCTTGGGCATTCTACATTGTAGCCATGTTCATTGGTCTCAGTTGCATTACCATGTTTTTCTTCATGACCGAGACAAAGTACACGAAACCTCGTGATCAAAACACCTTGGAAGCCTCCAATGAATGTCATCCGGAAACAAAGACCTCCTCTCAAAACATCGAGGATGTCCGTCGAAGCTCGTGCAACGACTCAGAATCTCAGTCTTCTCCGCCGAAGGAAAGCTATCTAAAGGAACTCTTACCATTCCGTAAGGGTGATCCTCAAGTTTCTCTCCTCAAGGTATTCCTTCGACCCTTTGCGCTCATTTGCTATCCAACTGTACTATGGGCCTCTATGATCTACGGCGTGTCGCTTGGATGGAATGTCATAATCGGTTCCACCGTGGCCCAGTTATTTGGAGAAGCTTACGGGTTTGATTCCCAAGCACAGGGTCTGATATTTCTATCACTTTTTGTAGGTTCACTTGTTGGCGCGTGGCTCTGTGGCTCTGTCTCAGATTCTTGGTCGAACTATCTTACACGCAAAAATGATGGTATTCGAGAGCCCGAGATGAGATTGCCTACACTATGCATGGGGACCCTACTCTTGTTATTCGGAACCCTTGTCGCAAGTCTAACGTATCACTATCACACACATTGGGCAGGGCCTGTCATTGGCCTAGGTGTTTTGACTGCTGGGTCGCAGATTGGTGTTTCTCTGTCAATGAGCTATGCTTTGGACTGCCACAAAGAGGTAAGTGGCTACTGTCCCTGTATCCGCCAGTACATACTAACGCAAGTCACAGCTATCGGTCGAGTTGATGGTCGTAGTCGCATCCCTCAAGTCCCTCATGGCGTGGATTTGGACATGGATTATTAACGACTGGATCATAAGTGATGGCATGCTTACAGTTTACATGACTATCGCTGCAATTAATATCGCCATTCACTTGACGACAATTGGCCTTTACTTGAAAGGCAAGGATATTCGAATTTGGCTCCATGAGGAGAACTTTCTTAAGAGATTTAAGCTTGATTAACTTAATTAAAGATATAGATTTATAGCTTTATATTTAATCTAATTAGCTTTAACTATATTTTATACTATCTTTATTATCTCTAGCTTATAGATTTATTCTTACTTAAATAATATTAATATTACTATAGAACTGGTTTAGAGCATTTAATAGACTGTAATTAATTCAAGCTACTGCTCCCGTGGCCAAACGAGCAGTTCAAAGACTCCCCTTCCTTCTCACTATCATCCCTGAGGCTTTAATTATCATTATCAAGCGTCTTTCCCTTTTTCACCATCTTCTCAAGTTGCTCAACCTCAGTAGCTGCCCATTCGCGAAAACTGTGCCAAGAAGTTTCACCGGCCTGCCAAGAAGCCCATTGCCAGTACGGATATTCTCCGTCACTGAAAGTCTCGCCACTGCTATCTTCTGGATTTCGCCAATATGCTGGTGAGATCATAAAATGCATGAATCCGTCACACTCGGTTGCTGGTGAAAGGGCAATGACTTTGGAATAGATATCTTGGTCTAGGTCACCAAGAAACCACGTGTAGTTTTCGACGTCATCATCGGCGAGGTCAATGTCATCAAGACCGTTGATACCACCATTGAGAAAATGCCAACCTCCTTGAAACCTAGAAGAAGTTAGCTAATGAGTGACAGTGCAATACTTGACTTACCCGTTTGCAACACGGACCATGTCCTTAAAGTCAGATGGCAGCTCGCCAACTTTAGCTTCAGCTTCTGATATCTCCTCCTCTGTGGCTGGCGAATAGAGAATATCTTCTGCACAGGTGAGGCCTAGTTCTCGATACTCTTTGCGGTTCACTATCCATGCAGCTGTGGCAAGTCTGTCAAGCAACTCTTTCCAGCCAACTCTTTCTGGTGCGAGTGACCATTGCCGGCCGTTTTCGGCGCGCATCTTCAACGCCGTTATGACTTGTTCAACCATATCATCAGCTTCGTCCGCCTCAATATAAAATGGATTCCCTTCCTTTTTACTCTGAGCCAAAAGGGGTGATACTTTATAGATTCCTGGGAGGAATAAATACCGGTCCAATTGACCCCCATCAATGTCATTGAAACCATCCAGCCGAAGGCCTAAGGACAGAACTTCGGCGGCAGTATCAAATTCCTCAAGTCTTATCGCCAACTCCACCACGAGTCGTCGATAGAGTAAGTAAGAATGCCTCCTAACAGGGTGATGCCCGTTCCGTTTGTGTTCCCACTCGGTGATAGGAATTTGAGGCTGTGCATAGAGCTTCTTTGATGCAGCGAGAGCTTCCTCCATGTTTTCTCGAGTAGGATACTGGCCTATCGTCTTGCTCTTGGCCAGTAGTCGCGCACACATTGCAATCGTTGGTTCGTCATCAGTCTCGCGCCATATATGTACATTCTCCGGCTCTGATAGGTTGCAATGCTCAAGCATCCAGCCAGTGCGGGTACATTCTCGATACTCATACCATTGCTGTCTTTCGAGCCTTTCTTTCCGACCAAAAGCCACGTCTGAACTCTCGTGATGGCCACGAAAAGGATTATTATATTCAGAATGGGCCTCCCAGAAATTATCGAAAGGCCGACTGCTTAGTTGAAAGGCATTTTGGTTGCTCGATGTAAGACTGTGATATTCATACAAGGCGCAGATGAGTGTGTAAGCTTTATCAATATGGTTGGACAGTAGGAGGAGCTGGATGAGGCGGTTGACTCGTCGCAAAGCGTCGCTGGCATCTTGCGACTCCAGCAACAAAGATATCAGATCAGAGATCTTGTGCTGGGTGAACCAACCGTCTTCTCCGGGATCAGCCTGATCGACGTATGTTAATGAGGGCATTTTTTTAATGATATACTGAGGAGATACAAAGCTCAGCTTTATGAGTAAGATACTTCTAGGCACCAAGGGCCCGTTGGTAAAAAGAAGTGTCCGGAAACAACACTACTGGCGCCGGGTCGGTAGATTGATCTTCCAGTCCGTCGACATTCAATTGGTGAGCTTCTAGGCCCTGGCTGTTAAAGCTACCCTAGAATGCAATTTATAGGTAGACATTGCAGAGTCCTGTTTTGTTTACTTTATGTAATACCTAAACTTATATAACTAGTACTTCCTTAACTACTATACAGCAGCTACTAGGAGTAAATAAGTAAATGTTTAGTTAAGTGCATCAATGCCCTGTGCTGGATAATTCTTCTATTAATACTTTTTAAATCTGGCCATGTTCCTTAGCTATGACTGAATAATATCTCCTGTATCCAAGCCCTCTTCAGCACCATCTTTAAGAACGTATATTACCTGATTCTCTATTAGAATTCTTCTCGCTTCCTCAATATGACTAAGTCCTTATTTTCGCACCTTGTCTAGAGAATCAGGACGTCGCACTTAAATAACAATATAGAAGCGCATTATGCATTCTACGTCTGCTGCCAGACCCAAGAATGAGGCCAATGCGAGCCCCTGCGAGCCTCTGTATCTAATACTAGTAAAATTCTGCCTTTCCAGGAAAGCCGGCTCAAGGCCATAGAGCTTAGAAGATCCTTAGCTCCCCTGGTATATAATCTACAATCACGTCACTTCTTATCTGTAAAGTGTAATCTCCCTTGCAGATAGATACTTGAAACTGTCGCTAGACTCGGGAGAGCGGGCGGGTGACCGGGTGGTCCGGGCGCTACCGTGGGAGTGTATTAGCCATGACGTCTAATTGGCTCAGTGGCCAATCCCTGTTTCAGCTCATTTCTTGCGTGCCTTAGCCTGCTTAGCTATCCTGTCTAAGCAGGTGGTTTGGAAGTCAAGGCGCAGGGCAAGGAGGCAGAAATACAAAGCTGGTGATCTCATTACAGTGAAATAACTATAGAAGGAGGACTATCGTTTAAAATATAAGCATAATACAGAGAATCTAGACTACTACAAGAATTCGGGTATGCTTCTTTTCATCACTCAATCGATCCAATATTAATGGCGATATTCTGAACTTCATCACAACAGCAGCCGGGGAGGTTCGCCGAAGAGGCAGCTGCATGTTACTAAGGCTAATAGGTAGGCATCCTGTGACGCCACCAAGCAAGGATTTGAACATGACAACCAACAGATGTAACCTTGTGCTGCATATAGTGGTGACAAGAACCCAACACCCGATAGCTTTGTCTAACAGTATCTCTCTCTCTTACCATCAAACTCTACAGCCATTGCTTTATCAATCATGTCTTGGAAACGTTCCTCTCTCGTTGAGACCGGGTTCTTCTATGATGAAGACCTGCTAAGCGACGAGAGAAGAAATGAAGACAGAGAAGACAAAGACAAAAGACAATTCCCGCCCCATGTTCGAAGGCTTGAGCTAGAGATGCTTGATTTTACGTGCCAGGAGCCAGACCTGCCTACCAAGAAAGATCTCAACATCCAACGCGAGGCTGAAAGACTTACCAATGGGGGGTTCTCAGAAGATCGTTGGGTTGACTTATTTCGAACACACTTCTTCAATCCGCTTCTGCAACATGCCTCAGTCTCAGGACGAAGATCTCGAATGTCAGTACAATGCTATATTTGAAGTCCCAACTAACAGGTGTACTCCTAGGTCATCAAGATGCCTCTATTACTATGATTCTATAGTCTTGTAAGCAACTCCGAATGCAAGAAGAGCAGAAACTCACAACGATAATAGCGACACTGACGCTATATGGTGCGCATTTGACAAGAACGACGAAGAGAATGAACTTGTCAAGGCACCCAAGCCCGATCTAGTCTTTTCTCTCCCGATGTATCATCTAGATACTCACATACCTATGATAACTGATCACGAAGCCCACCAGTGGCATAAAGCATCAGCGCCATCCCTTGTGGAGTCATTTTCATGGTCCACTTTAAAGCAACTACATAAGTCCGGCTTGTTAGTCACTCCCTTTAAGGTTTTTAGTAGTAAAGAGCCTCAAGAACCTCGAGAACGAGATCTCAGTTGTTTTCCTTGGCTTGTTGTCGAATGCAAGAAAGCAGAGCGCACCCCTGGTGAGCTTGAACGATTGAGGGAAGTCGTTTACTGCCAGGCAGCCAATGCCAGTGGATGTGCTGTCAAGTTAAACCAGAATGCTGCGAAATATGCTATCAAGCTGGCTTATCACGCAGAGATCCCCCCTGTTGCCAGCGTGACTACCGTTGGGCCGCAAGTCAAGGTCTGGATAACGTTTTTTGCTGAAGACTTTAGCGCATATTGTTATGACGTTAACGGATATCAAAAGTATCGCCCCCAGAAAGAAGGCTACGTGAGTTCAAATCCAGGTTAAGCAGCTGAGCGGCACTAACCACGCAAACTAGATGATGCAATGTATCTGGACGGGTGACATGACAGAACCTCAAGACATTATCAAATTCCGGCTTATTCTCGAAAACACATACACCTGGGCAAAGCGAGTTTTCAAACCATTGATAGCCACATATATTGATCAGTGGAAGTTTGCCTGCGCTGAAGATATCACTGGCAATGGAAAACTGAAAATGAAGCGACGGCAAGAGAGGCTGGGCCTCTCAAGGTGTGCACTCCGACTTACTCAAGCTTGCCTACATGCTCAGCCAGACCTCAAGTCCTGCGAGGACTCGTATCTTTCCATTACAAACAGGCTTGTCGACCTCTGCGACCGATTCGTCCACGATGTGGATCGATTGATCGCGGAGGAACTCAAACGATCAAGTGAAGGCAAACAAAGAGCTCCGTCCAGCAGCACTACACGCAGAAGAGCACGGACACCTAGCGAACCATCCCGGAAAGCTACTCCTGAATCTGAAGGTATGACTTCTTTAAGCGTTCCGAGACGAAGCCCGCGTTTGGAACCACGGAACAAAGCACAGCCGTCTCAGGAAATCACTTCAAGAGTAGAGATAGTCTCTTCAAGTCTGAGAGTAACTATGGCAGCTGGGGCACCTAAGAGAAGGCAAAGCCAGAGTAAATTTCTCGCGCCACCAATTGAGATTGAACTTGTACCAGAATCTTCATCCGGGGAGTCAGAAGCCTCTGGTACAGTGGCCGACGAGGATATTTCAGTTGTGAACCTATCAGAAGAGGATAACTAGAGAGGCATTCAGGAGTGCTAATAGGGGAGGTATGAAGCTGTTTTATTTCATTGGATGGAAGGAGCTTTGTTGCTTGGCATATACTTACAGAAGAGATTTGTATTATAACGTATCATTAACTGAAATTCGAACAATGTGCGTATAAACCTTTAGGCACAGATATTAGCGCATTAGTATTTATTGTATTGTATATTCTGGCTTGCTGGCTTGCTGTGTTGCGCAATGTTCTTCCTTTGTATAAACTTGTGATGCGCGGGGAGTGAGCTAAAAGTAGCTATACATTTCGTCACATTGCATTCCCAAGTTGGGCACTGTGTCAGCAGCGACCATATTCCCACTTTATTCTGAGATTCATGATGTTTAATGATTGGCCTCTCTGCAAAGCCAGCAGCTGCAAAGCGTGAGATACTACGGCAAGGTTTCAGCCGCATGACCAACGACCAGCATATCAAGCCACCTTGAGGAGAAACGTCCGTCCGCTCCCAGCAAGTATTGCGTTGCCAATAATAGGTACCAGGTATACTAGGAGGTGCGATCATTTCCTTTCAGGCGTGGAAGGACATGATAGGGGAGCAGTGTGTTAGTATGACGAACTAGGAGCTTAGTAGTGATAGCCTCCATTCTGAATTTCTTCTAGCAATTAGAGCATGTAGCCCCTGAGGTGCGACTTATTGATAAAGCTGTCGCATGGGGGTCTGTTCACTCGGAGGGTGACTTGTCGTCGGGAGGCTTATTGCTTGCACCTGGTGTTGGCCGTAATAGAGAATACATTACAGATCAAGGCAATAAAGAAAATGTAGTAAAGCTAGTCTACTAGTTGATGAGTCTCAGACAAAGAGCTGCCGCTTAAGATGGCCGACAAGTCTTGCTGCAGTCGGGCTTCGGGTGCTTATAAGACTCCGACATCTATACAATCCGATGGAGGTATAAATACGAAACTACCCAGAGTTCGTTTACAGCCTTCTATAGGGGCTTTGCCACGAACAGCACAGAAACTTATAGACATTGTTTCTGGCTTAGCAACACATCAACCGAGGGCTTTTATTTCTAAGGATAATTATGCTAGTTCCCAACGGATCCTTAACGCAACCGCAATTTTCCGTCGATCAGGATAGTTTGTGGCGGTGGGACTGTAAACTCACGGAGTTAGGAGCAGCACAAGCAGCCGAGACTAAGATATGGGTCATGTTGAGTGCTGAAGGAAAGCTGTAGGATCCCTGCCATCACTAGCCAGAGCGGGTGCACTCCCTCTGATGAATAGCCTGTTTTTGAAGAGACAGGAAAGTCTGGCCGTTATTTCATAGATCGTGGCCCACTTATCCAAGCTCACTAATGTCATGGCTAACAGGACTGCGGTAAGGTTTAGGTTTTAAACGAAGCTTTAGCCTCTAGGCTATAAAAATAAAGGATACTAATAAATATATAACTATAGGTAAAATACTTATTACC